ACGTCGTGAAAACTGTGGTGGTATGTACCAAGAAGTTTTTCCTCATTACACTGTTCAAGGATATGACCAATTGTTGACCCACTTCATCTCAGGTGTAGTGTGTCAGTGCGAACAGTGACCAGTTTCCTGGCAAGCTACATGTATCACAGGTATGCAGTTAAGGACAGTGACCAATACATACCCTTGGGAACATTCGGGGGTCAAGTTCAAGTTCGTATAATACGCAAAAAGTGATCGAAAGAGAGTTGCAGTAAGGCCATCATATATGAAGTCATAGCAAAAGCATCCTTCGAAGTGTTTTTGATATATTTTGTCTATAAAAGGCGTACGTGCTAGATTCTGTATCAAAGGGGGAGTAAGTGTATGAGTAATGTTTTATTTTTGTCATCTTTTATCATTGCTAACATTATGACAACACTGGGCTACCCTGGGGCTCTGCAACTGCAGATCTACGGACCGCAGTGCGTGTAAATTATCCTAACTGACACACTTTAGTTTTTAGTGGGTCAAAATGGTGCAAAAAACATCACTTTCGAGACAGTAAAAACGTTATTTTATGTGAATAAAAGACAAGTAGACTTGCTTCAAGCATTGTTCTTGTAATTAATATTAAGTCGGGTTAATTAAAACCAATGAATATTTCTTGGCATAAAACATTAAACTACTATACGAGTTATTATATTCTTAATATGTTCATCGAACTTATTGCGTCAGACATGCTGTCAACCTACAACAATGAAGTAATGAACTCATTAGCGTTCCTTGAAAAGTGTTTATTTATTCACTCGGATCAAACATTAATACACTGGGAACGTATTGAATTTTTCAATAAACTTAAAAAAAAAAAACCAGTCATGGAATGAAAGATAACGTAGGTTGCGATATACAATACATGTATAATGCAGAACGCACACCCGGTAATAACATCAGGAATTATGCAATGTGAAATAAAAGCCTTCCAACAGTAGGCATCCATTAGATTATGGGTCAAGCATTCACTATTTCTGCTATACAATTAGGCTTTTACATGGCATCATGATACATCTCAAAATTTTTTGTAGAATATATCACAGAACAGGGTCTGGGTTATAAAACTTAGATGAACTCAAAATTTTTGTACCAGTCTCATTTTTAGAAAAGAAATTTGTAGTTGAAAAGTGAGACCGAGATCAAAAATGAGCTCGTCTAAGTTTAATGACCTTGAATCCTAAAGCAAACATTGTTCGAAGATAACAACACCACCTAAAAACCAAGATTTTTATTTCTAAAATTCGGAAAGGTAAAGTTGTTAAGAAGTTACTTGATACATACAAGATTAGCTGTATTCGATACATACATGAACTAGTTTTAGACAGGCCCGTTGGAATCAATTTCAGTTGGGGAAGGGGGTGGACACAACCTAACAAATCCTTGACCCTGACAAAAAGGCCATTGGACGCTGTAGAGGGGCAAGGGGCACACATGTTAATAAGCATTGTTTTGTAATGTATATTACGTAGTGGCCAAATTATTGAGGGTGAACAACTTCAAATTAGTTTTGTTTTCTATATTAAAGTATATACTGGCAAAGTTACTGAGGGCTCCCGCCGGTTAGATCAGTTGTTTCAAACGGAATAACGACAGTTAAATATATTTAGCGGGTGAACGCGGGTATGCCCTTCTCTTAACTCCTTCTTCCACCTTCTACATGTCCGTCCCTCCTTTCCCCCGTATTCTTTCATCCCTCATATCTTCTTTCCTCACACCGGTCACAGTAGCCTAGCGGTATGGGGTTCGCTTCGTGATCGGGAGGCCTGGATTCCATTCTCGTTCGCTGTGCCGCGTTAAACATAGGAAGTGACTGTTCCTTCGCCAAGCACCTGGCATTAGATGTAAAAGTCATGGGTCTTTTGGATGAAACCTTACTTAAAAATCAATATCTCTTGTCACGGTAGGTGTTGGCACAATCAAGAACTTTTCTTTCTTAATGGCCTTGAGTGCCGAGTAGAGGTCTTAATATGAAGCCTTTCACCGGTATATGTTGACGTCTCCATATAAGTGAAATATTCTGGAATGGGACGTAAAGCAACATACAGTCAATCAATCTTTGTCTCATCAAGACGTGGTACATATACACCGGTATTGCTTCAGTATGTTGTCATGTTGGAACAAAACCTAACAAAAGCTGTCCTAGTCAAACTTTATACACCGCAGGGCATGCTCAATTTATGCCATATTTGTAAAAAAAAAAAAAAAAAAAAAGCATTTGAAAAACGTTAGTTTGGAATAAATTAACATTGCTAGTGTACACTTCCTTCCTCTTTTGTTAATGTAATTCATCTAAATTGATGACACACCCTCTGATCAAAAGCAAGGCCTGAAACATCTATGATATTTTTAGTCTCTGTGTTAAAAGTTATGACCATGACAAGGATTTTAAACTTTTGAACTCGGTGATCTCATCTAAATATTCATGGCTCAAGATCATGACACTCAACTGGTCCCGAGGAACCATTTTGCCAAACAACAAGACAAGAACTCTAATACCTTCAGATCTAACTACCCTTAGGTTAGTCAAGTATATAATTTTTATTTATTTATTTTTTTTTATTCTTCAATCACACAAATTATAAATACAAACAGTCACAGTTATATTAAGAAAAAAAATGTGTGAAAGAATTTTATTTTTTAGGGGGTTTAAGAAAAGATAGAAAAGAAGAGGGGGAAAGATGGGGAGGGAAGGGGGATGAGAAAGGAGGGGCACTGAACCTTCAAAATATTAATAAAAATTGATTTTTGAATTCTTACAATTTTTCAACAATTTCCTGCCAGTGTCTTGTAAATTCCTCAAATTTACAGTTTTTTAACAGTAAAAACTTTTCAACTCTAATTCTGTCAGTAATTACATGTTTTAATTCCTCAATGCTTAATTTTATTGGATTTTTGAACTTACTTGAAAAAATATACTGTTTCATAGTCATAATAAGGAGATTCTCAAACTTGTATTGTTCTCTGTTTGTAAATTTACCAAACAAGATTGATTTCTTATCGAAACAAACTAACCGGTTTAGTTTATTCAAAATCCATTCTTCAATTTCCAACCAAAGTTCTTTAACACAGAAGCAATCAACGAAAAGATGATCAATAGTTTCAATATCAGTATCACAGAAGGAACATAATGGTGAATCAATTAATTTTAATTTGTAAAGATAACTTTTAGTAGGAATTATTCTATGTAAAATTTGAAATTGTAACCATTGAAATTTAGATTCTTGAGTTGTTTTAAATGGTAGCTCAAATATTTTTTCCCATGATGCCTCACAAAATTGTTCTCCTTTTCTCCATTTTATAACTGAAGTTATTTCACCTTTTTTTATTTTTAATGAGAAGATTATACATATCTTTACACCCTTTTTTACTCTTGAAAAAAATAAGTAAACTAGCAGGAATAAGTGGTCTGGAGATTGAAATTGTTTTGTAATCTTTAAAACAGGCTAGTCTCTTTCTCATAGCAGTTCTTAGTCCTGCATATTCAATATAATTTGTTTTCACATTAAAGTTATTTTGAATATGATTAAAACTATAAATATTACCATTTGGATCAAGGAAATCATTAATAAAAACAAAACCAGAATTAAAATAACTTTTAATAAAAATTGACCGGCCACCAATGGTGACCTTTGGATTGTACCAAACATGTTCTTGCTGGAGTGTTAAACCATTCATAGCTTCATTCTGATATACTTTCGACCAGCTAAAAAATACATCTTTCCAGAATTTATTTCTCAAGTTATTGCCTAAATTCTTAATATAATCAATTCCAAACACCCAAAGATCATTTATACTTGTTTTTAATTCTGCCTCAAGTAAGCTGACCCATTTGGCTTTTGAATGTATTACCCGTCTTATCCAACTTGCCTTCAATGATGTAACAAATTCTTTATAATCTATCATCTTTAGACCACCATATCTGTAGTCTTGAATTATAACATTTTTCTTAATTTGATGATTCTTCTTATTCCAAAGGAAATTATACAAGTCTTTTTCAAAAGCACTTATTACTTCTTCACTGGGATTTGGTAATGTTAGGATTAAATGGTTTAGTTTAGGAATTAATAATGTTTTTATTACAGTCAATCTTCCAAGAGGAGTGAGCTTTATAAGTATATAATTTTTATGAAGAGGCATTCCACTCTTGCATAACAGAAAATTGTGTTCTACACATTTATATTTATTTAATGACTTTATCCCCGTGACCTTGGTCTTCTCCAAATGACTGGAAAGGAAATTCACGATTTTGGCCGATTTTCTTTGAACTTCTTTCAAAATTATGCCGCATCCATCGGATATGGGCAACTTTGTGAAAAGTATGTACAGACTTAATTTTTCAATCTTACAATTAAGTTTGAACTTTGATACAACAGAGGGCCTCGACAGACAAACGGACATCATCCTCCAAAAAAAGATGCGTGTGATCCTTGATAGTTATCTGAATATCCAAAGTGTTTCACATAGTCTTTCAGAATCACCCGCGTTGCGCTGTGGTTAGAGCGTTTGCTCTAGATTCGCGGCGTAAGTGGGTTCGAATCTACTGTGGAACATAGAGACCGGTCTTTTGGATGAGACCGTATAAACCAAGGCCCCGTGTCATAGTAAGTGCTGGCACGAAAAAGAGCCCTCACTACTCAAAGGCGTAAGTACCGAGTACAGGTCTAAATTTGCAGCCGTTTACCGGCAGGTGGTGGCGTCTCAGTGTGAGTATAAAATTGTGCAAGGCAAACGAACAAACATAATCTGTTAGACATGATCAATCGTTAAGTTATGTATAATTTCTCATGTAGCTTTAATACAGTGTAGGGTTCAAATTTTCTACTGTTGACCATGACTTTGTTGAATGAACTTGAATAAAGTTCACAACCATAAAAGCTGTCATTAGTTATTCTTTCGAAAATAAAAAAAAAGTTTCTACAGTTCTCTGTCATGAATTTAAAAAACAAACAAACAAAAACTGCACAATTTTCTCCAAGTGACAGTGTTTAACTGAAACAAATGAAATTGGGTTACTGCTGTGACAAACCCGAGGATACAAATCTTTGTATTAAGTGTTAGCATCTAATATGTACATGTTAGACATAATCAATCGTTATGTTATGTATAATTTCTCATGTAGCTTTAATATAAGTGTAGGTTTCAAATTTTCTACTGCTGACCATGACTTTGTTGAATGAACTTGAATAAAGTTCACAACCATAAAAGCTGTCATTAGTTATTCTTTCGAAAATAAAAAAAATTTCTACAGTTCTCTGTCATGAATTTAAAAAAAAAAAACAAACAAAAAATTGAACAATTTTCTCCAAGCAACTGTTTAACTGAAACAAATGAAATTGAGTTACTGCTGTGACAAACCTGAGGATATAAAAATGTTTGTATTAAGTTTTAGCATCTAACACGTTCATTGTCCTTAGCTTTCATCCATTAATTTAAGTTGATAATAAATGACAAACACGGTGTTCATATCTATACGTATACAATTTAAGATTTCTAATCTAATAAGAAGGGGTAGGGGGTTGGTTGGAGGGTATGACTCGAAGTACATGATTATATAAGAATATGTACTACATGACTACGAAATAGTACTATTTTCCAAACAACAGTATGAAATGCCTAGAAGGGTAAACTATTTAATGGCTTCTTAGATTATAGCTTTTGTACAAAAAGCCATGATTAACTTGCTCACCGAGCCCAAATTCTATATCAAGAGATTATGATTTTCAGAAATTTGGGCAGAGGACTCGTTGCCTATTAACAATCGTATACACATGTACATGCTTTGTCTAGAAGCATTTAAGAATCATGTTTTCAAAGTGCAATGCATTTTCAATTTTGCACTACCAGGAAATTTTGGTTGAAGGTTGACTTATTGGACAATATTTTTTTATTGGACAATATATATAGGCGGCTTCATGTAATTATGCATGCAATTCAGTTTCCCTTTAGTCGAGTTGTAGAGAAGATATTAGAAAAATACTTGAAGTTTGATTTTCGGTCCAATACCTCAGACCCCCAAGGGAGAGGATCATGAAATGTTTCCCCCCTTCGGTGGATGTTATAAAACAACAGTGGTTGAAAGTAGTTTGGTCATTTCAGAGATAAAGCTGAGACTACTCAAAAGTTGAGAACGACGCACGATGTCGAAAACAGATAGCAAGAGGTCAGTTGATTGATTGTATACTGTTTTACGTCCCATTCTAGATTTTTTAACTCAAACTGGTGAAGGACTTCTAATTTAGACCTATACTCGACACTCATGGCCATTGAGCAGTGAGGGTCCTTTATCGTGCCAGCATGACACGAGACCTCGGTTTTTAAGAGAGACCCATGACTTTCACTTCTAATGCCTTGTCGAAGGAACAGTCACTACCTATGTTTTGTCGTAGGTTTGACGCGGCGCGGAGAACGAGAATCGAACCCGGGCCTCTCGATCACAAGCGAATGCCCTACCACTAGGCTATCGTAACCGGTACAAGAGGTCAACTGAGTAACTCACGTGACTTAAAAATCAATTAAACAGAGCAGGGTTGTAATGAAAATATGAAATCTCAAGTTAGTTAATAAGTATAATTCTGTTAAAGTCCTTTTTATAAAATTTGCTTTATTATGTATGTATGTTGTAGAACTCTCTTTGCAAATAAAATCGACCACACATGTCTCTTAGTTTGTTGCTATGAATTCTGTTGTTTTGAACAGTTTCAGTAGGGTTATCATTTCTCTCGAGATTTTATGTTACATGATGTATGTACTAGCATTTAATTCTAAAATAAACAGTTTTGAAATTATGAACGGAGTTTCATTATTCTCTCGTTAGGAAAAGGATTGATCACTGGGACATGTATTGTGTGTCAATATTCAATCTATGTATTCTTAAATGAAATCGCTCGTTTGGAGCACACCAAAAGTAATATCCTCATCATGCTAGTATCCTCTTTCTATTTACAAGACAACATGTATCTTTTTTTTCTTAGCTATAAAACTTATTATCTGAGATATGAGTCATTCTTTGTATGATGCTATTTCATTTTGACTTTTTTCCAGCTTTTAATTATTTTCTATATATCAACATTCTGCAATTATACAAAGAGCAAAAAAAATATTCAATATACTTTTAGACAAACTGACAGTACTAACTGCATGGAGGGAAACTCGCTACTAAATTAATTTTTGGTAATGATAACTTTTGTTGAATTCAGTGAGCTTGAAGTTTAAACCCCGGCGTATTTAAAGCATATACATATTTATACTAATTACAAAAGTGCACCTACTAATGATAAATATTAAAGATCAAACAACGAAAAATCAAGCCAGAAGGTACGCTTTTCCGGAATATGAGCAAACAAAAAACAAACTCTTTAGATTGTTGACCTATCATATTTTATGGCTAAACAGAATCATATACATTCAAGTTGTTTCAAGTTTGGGTTCAACTACCCATCATGGCGTTTGCCATCAAACAATGCACAAAATACTGTTGGCGGAATCAGAGAAATTTAGAAAGCAGTGCGGGATATTTATGAACACAGGGTTGACTAATGGATGAAATATTGCGAAACGATGACTGTAAACTTGCCTGTGGACTGAATTAACTCACAAATTGCAAAAGAATATATGATAAATGTACTTTCATTTGCCGGACATGATGAAGCACTTTAATGCTTACTGGTAAGGTATTTACCCGATGGAGCAACTTTATTTTTACAATGTGGAGTTCACAGTGATTAAAAATGTACTGTAATTGTTAGGACACGTTTCTATCACGGCATATGCAAATGAGATATTATTATTTTGGTATTTAATGGCATATGCCCTCACTCAGTGATGGACATATGTGACAATCAGAAGCTTAGACTCTTTTAAAGAACCTTTCCAGGTATTTTCTACTCAGGTCGCTTGTTTTTAACGCCTGGGAGACCTATGGAGAGGTTACTAAGTATATTTTCTACAAGGGAAAAAATTGCGAGAACTTGAATTGTTACTCAACAAAATTTTAATAATTTATATTCAATAATTCAGGATTGTAGTTTAATATTGTGTATGAATAACTAATTTAAGATAATTTACCCTACTGGCTATTCGCGATCTATAAACGCTATGACTGGAGATAGACACTACATATTAAGACAATTTGTTAAAGAAAACAATCCATACTTGAAAAAATATCCTTGATTTCGGAAGGAAAAAATATTTGCAGCTAGATTATATAGTCAAATAACAACACACCTATATCCATTTATAGAAAATCTTTGATGTATTATTGTTTTTAATATAATTGCGAGGTGTATTTTATCACTCAAATTCCTGATTTGATTGAAAATAATAATGATGTTGATGATAAAAGCAATCTTTTATTTTTCATCTTGATCATCTGTAAGGCATTGGCTCAAGGGAAGAATTTAAATGGGATGACTTTATCACATACGTTTCTTGAAGGACCTCACATTCCAAATGATGGAGTCCGAATGAGAATATTATATATATACGTAACTGCTTTGGCGGAGCAACAGGAGGAGAGAAACATACAGTTGTACTTGAAGATTGCTCGTTCGTAATTTGTCAAGTTTTGCATGCAGAATAATAACGGATTTTTTTTTAAATAATACTTTCTTTTTGGAACACTAAGCTACATAATTCAATACGCAAGAATTCCTAGCAAAAGTTATTTGAGTAGGTCAAGGTCGTTACTGCTATGATTGTAGAGGGCCATATACTTACATATATGACACAATGGTTGTTCATGACCAGAGCTTCTGTAACAACCTTCAACCATCTACATTTCATCAATTTTATGCCTGCCTGCCCATATTCCATAAAAGTAAGACGACTCAACTCCCATATAGAGAATAAAAATGGTCATTTATTAAGGATCTATTATATTATGAAATTAAAATTGTATGTGATAACAACGTAAACTCACGTGAGCGATTTAGACGAATTGGTTACATGTAAATCTGCGTGTGTGTCCTTCATATGCGCGACGTCGACCCAGACGTATTTTATTAGCTTTCTCCATTCCCCATGTCTTGTTTTTGTTGAAAGAGTAAATGGTATTGAAAAGAAAAAATCAAACCAATAAGTGACTTTACAGTGAGTCGCATTTCATTTGTCTCGTATATTCGAACATCACCAATACAAGGAAAAAAACCACAAAGTGAACAATTTTTAAGAGGTATAGATAAGGGGAAAAAATATACCGGAACACTATGAGTGTTCATTGTGACGATGCATCGGAAGATCGTTAAGCAAGTAATTATTACTTGTTTTATTGGCAAACAGGTACAAGGGCCGCAGGTAATTATGAGGTAAACATATGTCTTCACAGCTTCTGTCTGTATGTACAGAAAGGTTAATGCGTCGTTGTCTTTTTATCTCCCTGTACCTGGGGAAAATGTCATTTGTCACCAGAAGCCTGTTCAGCTCTGACAATGAGAAGATGGGGAAAAAAATAGAAAATTTTAATACCGGTATTTAAAAAATGTATTTTGTGTAAAAGATCATTCACAGTTGCCATATATTCGATTTGTATCAGTCTCTCACTATCTATTTGCTTGCTGGCTGCATTCCTGCCTACACCGATTTCGGTATTGGTAAATGGGGTTCCAGTGCAGGAGTTAAGAGGGACGTTCTATCAAATCAAAGTGTTACACGGCTTAATTTTTTTTCTGCTAAAGGTCGATGATTATGGGAATGAATTTTGCACCCACTTACTTGACATTCAGTTTCTGGACATTATGAACTTCAACTTTGCTTTTTAAAGTTAACTGTCAACTTTGCATGATCTATTACAGAAAAACCACAAAAATACTTTTCTAATGAGAGACAGATTTTTTTTTACACCCAGGGGTGGACCACAAGCCTAACGTCGCTTTAGTCCGACTGATATACCGAGGGTAAGTATGCCAGTGGGATAAAGTGATCAAAAGGCTTTTGGAGTTGACTTTGGACTTTCGATTCAATGAACCTAAAGCCGCGTAG